GTTAGATACATTAGAGTGGTGTTGAAAAGTGAAGCATGCATTGATACCGTAATTACATATTTTAGCTTCCACAAAAAATTATGGTATCTAGAGTGGTGTAGTGGATCTCATGTTATTTTCTTTCTGTTAGCATCAGAGCAAAATTTAAAAATATTATCGTCTCCAAAAAAAGAGAAGCATGAATATTTCTAGGTCCCTGCTGCCAATAACTTTCCTTCATTCTTTTGTTTTATAAGTTAGATAAAGATCATCATTCACCTGAAGACATAATCAATTGTATGCTGCAAATACAGGCTTGCCCCCAAGTTAGAGGTGAGAGGGCCCAAGGAGGAAGCTTCCCAAAACTCCCCACCTCCAATATTCTCAATCAGAATAATTTCAATGTCTCGCCCTCTTTCTCTCCCACACTGTCCTCTGTAGCTCTCTTTATAGTACTTATTGCAGGATGCATTGTGTTACAGTTATTACTGAATGCTCCCCTAGTTCAATTATAAAGCTTCCCTTCTTCTTCCAACTCTAGTTTTTAACTTCTTCCCTCAGAATTCTGCACTTCTATTTTACCAGTTGGTATTGTTTCCTCTATTTAATCAAAAATCTTTTTATCCTCGTTATTAATCAGAACACAGAGAGACCAAGCTCAGGCCCTTCCCTTTCTCTTCTCCTCTATTCAACAACTTATATATTACCCATACGCACAGCTCATGACTGACCTGGCAGAAGACAAACAGGAAACTTCCTCCAGGTCACTGACACAACTCCCTGTTTATGTTTCTTAATTAAGATTAGATTCTCAAGTACAACTAAGTCCTTTTCTCTGCAAGGGGATGACTAACGCATGCTGAGCATTTCGTAAATCCCAGCACTGTGCCATGTGTAAGTATTATCATTCTTAATTCTACAGATAAGAAAACCTAGGCTCAGATAGGTTAAGTAATTTGCCTACGGTCACCCAAAAAAGTGGAGACAGTTAAGGTTAAAATCCAGATTCGAGTGACTCCAAAGCTCGTGCTTTCTGTAATACACTACACAGTTCCCCAAGGCAATCCAGGTTTTATTGATTTAAAATAAGAATAAAAAGAGCTAATACAACTGAGGATTCCCTTGTAAATACTGAAACCCAACCTCAGAGAGAAAAGAACATTTATTACCTGACATATCTACTTAAAATGTTATGTACCAGATCATAGCGAACCTGACTTCGGTTAACTTGAGTGTAGGTAAAAAGAAACGTAGGTGAAATGCACTAGACTATAAAAAGTTCGGTACTTCCTGTGACTCAAATGATTATGTTTTATCTGAAGTCCATTCACCAAATATAAAATTGTATTCGTGTGGCTTGTAGATGTTAGCATTTCCTCAGTTTCTTACTAGGAATATATCAAACTTAGGCTGTCTTGAGGCTGTATGTCCTCAACGAAATAATCAGCCAGTATAAGTTAACCAAGAGTTAAATTAGTCAAACGACTGGCTTGACAAAGTTTTTTTTTTTGTCTTAAAACCGTACTTTTATTATTTTGTTTATTTACAAAAGTAATATATAATTATCATAAGAAATAAATGTGGAATATAAACAGTAGAAGTCCCCTATAAACAATTCCCTCACTCCTTCCCAGCCCATAGTTAGCAATTATTAACAATCTAGTGTATTTTCCCTCAGTTTTTTTCTATGAATATAGAAAAGGTTAAGTTTTAAACACAAATTGTTATACTATACAACTTATTTTCACCTAATGCATTAGAACATCTTTCAATGTCGATATGAATAGACCTATTTTATACTTTTTTGTCCAATAATAGGGGATTTGAATGCAATGACAAAGTTTATTTATTATTAAATCGATTGACCAAGTGGACTGGAGTAGACCAATCTGTTTGGCAGCAAAATAACGAAAGTCCTCAAATCATCTGCAAAGTATTTCACTTATGTAAATCCTACCAGGAAAGAGGATCATACAACTCTATGTATTGCCATCCTCAACTTCTGCCCTTTCTGAGAAATCTTGCCCAGGTTTCCAGATCTGAAAGTTCTGCAGAAACATTTAGCAAATTCTAAGCCGTCATCACTGGGGAATTTACTGCAGAATGCTGTTACAGTACTCCAAACCATTGCACTAAGCCGCCATCACTAACTTGCCAAAAAAGAACTTTGTGAAGACAGCCCCAAAATGCTACTCGACTGTGTATTAAGATGTAAGGAACAAATTGCTTAAGTTTCCAATCCACTAACAGGATACATATGCAAAGCAAGGAAAAGTAACTAATTCTATAATCAAAACCAGGGCTACATGTATTTCTAAACTTTTAGGGATTTGTGGTGTGGGAGTAGAAGATTCAGGAGATTTGCTTTTATCAATGCCCACAGACATGCTTTCATAGTTTGTAGTTTATTTTCATTGTGAAAGAGAGTCTTAAATACCTTTCTCAAATCAACGTATTCTAAGAACTTAATCTGGAGGATAATCTATATAAATTTACATGCCTGACATGGGGAAATTTTGCCTGCGTCACCCATTTCCTGGGATTTGCCCAGTGGGAGAGAGATATTCAGTTCACTGTACCCTTGCTGGAATATTCAAGTGATGATGAATATTTTTACTTCCTAACTTTGTGTGTGTGTGTGCGCACGCGTGTGTGTATACATTCACACGTGGTTGGGGGGGGCAGGAATTAGTGTTACCAAACCACCTTGAAATCCAACGAAAATGTGATTTTCTTCTGTTATTACCTGGTTCTAAGTGAGAGTAGTATGTGCACTGGAGGGACAAAGGGTCACCTTCAGGACAGTGACTCTCCCATTTGGTGCACGCATCAGAATTACCCGATCTGTTAAAACACAGATCGCCAGCACCCCTAAGCGACACACCTACTCTGGAGTCTGAGTTTTTGATTCAGGGGGTGGCTTCCAAGAATTTGCATTTCTAGCAAGTTTCTGGGTGATACTAGGTTGGTCCAGGGACCAAACATTTAGAACCACTATTCTAAGGGAATTAACATGTGAAAGTAGAATCTGTGAATCAACCACTCCAAAGGGTCATAAAAGAAAGATTAAAGAGTCATTCCAAGGATCATCAGGACATGGCACTGAACTTTATGGGAAGAAACTGGTAAGGCAGAGGAGGGGGGAAAAACCAACTAATTTCATTACTTGGCTGATAGATTTGAAGTTTACAAGGGTGTAATAGGGTATTCAAAAAGTTTTTAAAAGTTACTGCATCCCACCTTCCTTTGCCATCAAGACTGTTAAGGTCTTGGGGGTTGGGGGAAGTTTGAGCAGATTTCCAGTAAATCTATAGTGACTAGATTTTAATTCCACTATATTATCTGCCAAGACTTTAGTCCTGGCCCCTGGGCTTCCATTAAGAAAATGGTCCACACTCACGCCATTTCAACTGGCTTCCTTAATTGAAAACATTGGTGCTGCTTTAGGGAATAGATGCTAACTTTAAAGGGTTAGCAAAGAGGGTAAGAAAAAGAGTTCATGCGTTTGGCTTGGTTTAAATCCTGCTGCTTAGATTTGATATGTGCTTTAATCCCTCTTTTACATAGCCAAATATAAAAAGGAAAAAAATTAAAGTCCAAGGCTCAAGTTATCCGATCAAAGAGCAACTGGATGATCTAAGAGCAGATGAATCAAAACCACAGGTTTTAAGGGAACATAGTCTCTTAACTATATGGTGCTCTGAGACTATCTGGACAAATGGGCTTTGTTGATATCTAGAAATACCAAAATACCAAAACAACTTTCACAACCCCGACTATAACTTTCACAATTTCCCTATTTGTCAGTTAAATTAAAACAGCCAAATCTGTGTAACAATTTCCCCCATCCCCTCTGTCCTACCTTCAGCCTAGGTTCCTGTGCTTGCCACCACTTCAACATTTTCAACATATTGAAGGGTTCTGACAATATTTGACCCAAAAGTCAGTTCCCCTATCCACCAGAGGACTTAGAAGGCCCCACAACTCTGGCTGAGATGCAGGTGAGCAAACAGAACAGAGCATTTGCAAAAAGACTGAAAAAGTTGTTTCTCCGTTGGTCTAACATGGTTTAACTGTTTTCCCAAATAAACTCAAACAGTTGCTTTGAATGTATGGTGTGTGTTTTCTCTTCACTGAATGGGGCCAAGTCAATCAGCTGTTTCAATACTGTGTAACCTAAATGGTAGGATTAAGTCCCTCCAGCCTTTCTCCTTTAGTTGCTTTGCATTTAAATGAACTGGGGTCAGTGGAGGGTCATTCTAAGCAAGAGAGATTTGAGCCTGTAAGAATGAGAGAAGCAGTCAACCTCCATCAAGGGCAACTGGATAATGCAAAAGCGCACTTTCCCTTCATCGCCACCCCCCATCACCGGTAAGACTCTCTGCTCTTACATAGGTGCTACATCTGGCTTTGCTTTAGTTGGGAACTCCCCTTGTTATAAAACTCTCCCTCTCAACTCTCTCACAGCCATCAAGAATAATTTACCTGCCCTGTGCCTCATTTCCCTTTGGATTAAGGTGAGCCCTAATCTCATCTGTGCTAAAGTATTAATTAGTGATTTAATGCATTGTTTAATTTATAATGTGCACATGAACAGGTGATGTCTAGTAGGAAGTCCAAAAGAATGACTCTCTAGTAATGGGAATTTTGAGGAATGTGGCAGGCTGGTCTGTGGGACATCTTTTTGCTCTGGGATATCTTTCCTGCAAACCATGCCATATTGAGTCAAATCTCTACCTTTTCAATGCATATGTTTAATTTTTCTAACTTTTGAAAAAAGTAATAAACCCTTTCCTGAGATTTCTAATTTATACCTAGAATCTAAGGTTCAGCTAAGCAGTGATTCTCAATCAGAATCTCTTAGGGCGGGTCTTGAGCATCTGCATTTCCAAATGATTCCTTCAGTGGATTTTGGTGTGCACCCGTACTTAAGAACCTCAGATATACAGAAATGAGGGCATTCTGTTCCATCAGAGGGCAGCGAGTCCAGGCCCGCTATTATCTCTGCTCATAATGTTGCTGAAACAGTTTCTCAATTCATATCAAATTGTGAATTACCTTGGAAAGAATGCAACATTGAGAGCAGTTATCTGTTATATATTCTTTCCTTCATTCTCTCTCCCTCACTGCCTCCTGCCCCCCTGTACCTCTAATGTTAGCAGTTATTTTACCTGCTACAGGACGATATACAGAACAATACAGAAAGACATTTTAAGGCAAGGCAGGCCAGGTCTTCACTCAACTCAGTGCTTTCAAATACTCATCACCATCTAATACACCTGGGACAAATTCCTCAAAATTATATACAATAATACAAAGCATATGGAGATAAGCATGGGTGGAAACCGATTCTGGAAAGTCAACTAATAAATTTCTTTTACATATCTCCAGATTCTGTCCAAAAATATTGAAGAGAATCATAGCAGTCAAAGTTGTTAACCACACTTAGAATTGTTACTACCTAAAGAAAAGAATAAAGAGGGGAGATACAAAATTAAAATCAAGGAGCTTGTCAAGGGAAAGAGATGTGAAGTGGGGCTGATGTGAACAGAAGACAAGAGAATGCATTTATCAGAGGGTGCAGTAACTTAAGGATGATTTATGAAATGTTTTTCTACTTGCGTTCCGATGAACATCAATAAGCCTCCTTAACATAAATTGAATAATATCCTTTATTCATAGCTGTTACTCATAAGATTCTGGAGGTACATTTGAATCATCATCTCTTATTTTAAAAATATTAGTTCCACTGGTATAAGAATAGCTATTACTATCAACCTGAATTACCACCATTTTATTCACAATCTGGTATGAGAGGGAAAAATAATGAGATATTTCCAGCTCCCCAAGAAGAAGTAGGATACTTAGGGGATGACTACCTAGAAATTGGAGTATTGGTTAACATCTGGGAAGCCTTGAATGAGTGGACGTGAGTTAGCAAGGGAGAAGAACATGGTATTTCTATAGCAAAGTGAGGCTCTGCATCTTTATTTATTTGACCTTAAGCAAGTCACTTCCCCTCTCAGGGCCCAAGTTTTGTTATCTATAAATAAAGGGTTGACCTATGACCTCTAGGGAGATCTTCCAGCTCTGTCCTGCAGTAGAGTTTGATTCTTCCTCATTTGCCTCAGCTCTCTGTATAGTGAATATTAAAATAAATTTTGTATTAAGGGAAGGCATTCCTCTATCAATTTGTCTACTCTCAATGCTGATGACATTTTATGCTGCTTTCAGTATCGATAAAAAGGTGTTTCCACGTTCTTTCATAGGATGATAACAGATACATTGCATAATGGGTTTTATTGTCCCCATTATTTTTGTGAAACTGAGGCTTAGAGAGTGACACGCTCTCTGGTCACTCACCTCATGGAACCAACAGTTAAATTCAGATCGGTGTGACACCAAAGCACATGCTACCACTGTGGCATGGCATGGGACTGGGATGATTTGATTATATAAGGATGGAAACTGCATACTCCAAACTTGTGTCAAAATAAGTCTCTACATGAATTTTTAGCTGAATATTCAGAATGTATTCCAGGAACCTAAACGGATACCTTCCTGGTCAGAGCTTTCATCAAAGGGATTAGTCTTTTAAATAGTATGTGTCTACTGTCTAGTTTTTTGAGGGAAGAGCTTTCCCTCTTGAAATTGTATAGCACACTATCAATAGCATGTCTAATTTATTTCTGTTCTGGTTGGTTCCAAAACCTATATTGTACAATGGGTACTTTGCTGTTGAAAGACTTTACATAAAATTTATTCTTTTAAAAAAGCTACTCTCAGTGAGAAAATTTAATTGAATCCTTCTTAAATATTTACTATTCAGAACAGGCACTTCTTGAATGGCTAATTAATTTCTCATGTAGTTTCTAATGTTCCCCATAAAATGTACCATGTAATTTGGCTTTGTCAATTGACTGAAAAGATAATTCTTTAATTCTCTCTTCCTT